AGGTAGCATAGATAGGGCTTGGACTGACTAAATGGGGTGCAAAGGTGGAGTAGGGGTGGAGGGGGGACAGAGGATTAGGGGATAATCATGACAGTGGACTACTGGGTGGTGGTAACAGTCTCTTCAAGGAACAAAGAACACAGTGGTATCATGGTAAAAGCTAGAAAGGAAGGGGAAATGAGACTGGAAGCAAGTTATTCTCAAAAAGTGGATGGGAAGAGGAGGAAAAATGAAAAAAAATATTAAAGAGAAAACACGGAGTTATTGGGGGAAAAAGTGGTTTGTTTTCTGGTGTGTGTGTGTGTGTGTTTTAAGATGGGAGATCATGGCTCTGGCTGGGTAGTTCAGTTGGTTAGAGCATTGTCCCGGAAGGTCCAGGTTGTGAATTCAATCCCGATCAAGGCATATACAAAGAATCAACCAATGAATGCATAAATAAGTGGAACAACAAATTGATGTTTCTCTCTCACTTTAAAAATCAATTTAAAAAAAAAAGATGGGAGATCATGGTCATATGCTGAAATAGAGGATCTTTGCAGATAAAAGTAAGAGATGGGATCATCTATAAATCAGTGGGGTTCTCAATGAGGGGTGATTTTGCTCCACAGAAGACATCTGACAATGCTTGGAGACATTTTTGGCTGTCAAAGCCAGGGAGTGCTACCGGTATCTAGTATGTAGAGGCAATGGATGCTGCTAAACCTCTTAGAATGCCTAGGACAACTTTTCCCAACTAAGAATTATCTGGTCCATAGTGTCAATAGTGCGGAAATTGAGAAATCCTGTTATAAATTCTTGGGAGTGTGGGAAGAAATAAGATCCTAAGAACTTGACACTGTAACAAGAAGAAAGCAGGAAAAAAATGAACATTAAGTGAACTACAGTAAAAAAAAATCTTTTTGAGAAACTATAGCCCTTGAAGGCAACAACAGTTATTATATCAATAGTACAATTTACTTTGTTCTAAAGAACATAAATATTATTGATTCATAATTTTAAAAAAAAGCACCTACAGTCTTTAAACAAGGGGAATAAAAGAATTGGGACATTATAAAGTCTTTACAACTATAATTGAGGTTCCTAAGATATCTACAATTTCTCCAGGAAAAAAAAAAAAAAAGAACACCCATAATTTATTCATTCAACAAATGCATCTATTACGCAAACACCTGAGAGCCCGCTGTTTGCCAGACATTATTCTAAGCCCTGGAGATACAAAGCCATTCAAGATATGTGGTCTTCTCCTTCAAGAAGCTTAATGAAGGGAGGGAGGGCTTAAAGGGGGAGAAGGAGAGATAATTTCATAAGACTGTGAAGAGTGATAGGAACATCCTCAGGGGACTATGAGTGCATATAAAGGGGAATCTAACCCAGACTTAGGGCAGAGAGGGTGGGGTGGAGGTGGGAGGTCAAAAAAACTCACTGGTAAAAGCTAATTTCCAAAGGAGCTATATATAGAACAGAGGCAGAGGGTGGTGTGAGGAAGAAACACATATCAGAGAGCAGGGTAAATTCTAACAACTTATAAGGACCATCTGTATAGGCAAAGCAAGAAATGAGAAAAAAGAAGCAGGAAATAGATTAAGAACATTACAAGTTAAAATGTAAAAAGTTAAACATTTTAGAGACAATAGGAAACTACTGAAGATTGTAAACAGAAGCTTGATGTGATCAGATTGGTGTATAAGGAAAACATCAATCACTGGCACACACAAAGAATAGATTGGGAATGATATTTAAATAAACACTAAGAAAGCATTAAGGATCGCTACAATAATATTGCTGAGCAAAAAATAGGAACTAAGGTAACAGCAGTAACGAGCTATTACAAAGTCAAGATTCAGAGGACTGGTAACTAATTAGACCTGAAGAAGAAAAAAAAGGGAAGACTCAGGAATGACTCTGAAGCACCAGTAAAGTAGACATGAGGGTGGTGATACCAGTCACTGAAGTAGGAGTAACAATGGAGAATATCCTGCATTTGATTACTATATGTAGGTAGGTCACTAACATAATACCCCAATGAGGTAAATATCACTTCCATTTTACATATGAGCAAACATTAAAGAAATAACTTGTGCTGTTTGAGCTCCAGCTGAAGGAGAAGATTTCTATACCATGGTTCATACAAAGCAAATTGTCTGCAAATCAACCAGTGGTAAAGCACAAGGAAGCAACTGACTACAAAAGCTGCTCCCAAGGTGCGCCCTCTACTGGAGGGGTGAAGAAACCTCATGTTATAGGCCTGGTACAGTAGCACTCTGAAATTAAATGTTATCAGAAGTCCATTGAATTTCTGATTTGCAAACTTCCCTTCCCGCATCTGGTGCAAGAAATTGCACAAGATTTCAAAAACAGATCTGCGCTTTCAGGGTGCAGCTATTGGTGCTTCGCAGGAAGTAAATAAAGCCTGTCTGGTTGGCCTTTTTGAATACATCAACAATTATGCCAACAAAAGACATCCAACTGGCATGCCACATATGTAGGGAATGGGCTTAAGAATCCACTATGGACTCTCATAGCCAGTTAGCCTGGAGGTCAATTCACCCCTAGTATTGCCGACAACAATTAAGACTTAACTACAACAAGACTGCGCACAAAGACCACAAGGGGGTGCACCAAGAAAGCATAAAAAATGCGGAGACAAAAAAACATGACAGAAATGGAGGATATAGAGCTAAAAAACGCAATTTTGAGGGCTTTCAATAATTTGCTAGAAACTGCCAGTAAACTGATGAGAGCCTCAAGAAATCTAATGAGACCCTCGATGTTGTGATAAAGAACCAACTAGAAATTAAGCATTCACTGACTGAAATAAAGAACATTATACAGACACCCAACAGCAGACCAGAGGAGCGCAAGAATCAAGTCAAAGACTTGAAATGCGAAGAAGCAAAAAACACCCAACCGGAAAAGCAAAATGAAAAAAGAATCTGAAAATACGAAGATAGTGTAAGGAGCCTCTGGGACAGTTTCAAACACACCAACATCAGAATTATAGGGGTACCAGAAGATGAGAGAGAGCAAGATATTGAAAACCTATTTCAAGAAATAATGACAGAAAACTTCCCCCACCTGGTGAAAGAAATGGACATACAGGTCCAAGAAGCACAGAGAACCCCAAACGAAAGGAATCCAAAGAGGACCACACCAAGACACATCATCATTAAAATGCCAAGAGCAAAAGACAAAGAGAGAATCTTAAAAGCAGCAAGAGAAAGAGACTCAATTACCTACAAGGGAATACCCATACGACTGTCAGCTGATTTCTCAACAGAAACTTTGCAGGCCAGAAGGGAGTGGCAAGAAATATTCAAAGTGATGAATATCAAGAACCTACAACCAAGATTACTTTACCCAGCAAAGCTAACATTCAGAATTGAAGGTCAGATAAAGAGCTTCACAGATAAGGAAAAGCTAAAGGAGTTCATCACCACCAAACCAGTATTATATGAAATGCTGAAAGGTATCCTTTAAGAAGAGGAAGAAGAAGAAGAAAGGTAAAGATACAAATTATGAACAACAAATACACATCTATCAACAAGTGAATCTAAAAATCAAGTGTATAATCTGATGAACAGAATGAACTGGTGATTATAATAGAATAAGGGGCATAGAAAGGGAGTGGACTGACTATTCCTGGGGGGGAAAGGGGTGAGGGGGATGCGGGAAGAGACTGGACAAAAATCGTGCACCTATGGATGAGGACAGTTGGTGGGGAGTAAGGGTGGAGGGTGGGGTGGGAACTGGGTGGAGGGGAGTTATGGGGGGAAAAAAGAGGAACATATGTAATAATCTGAACAATAAAGATTTAATTAAAAAAAAATAAAGTCACTAGAGAATGATGACTCAAGAAAAAAAAAATTGTTTTCTTCTTCCTATTATTGGTAGTTATAAAAGTGAGGTATTTTTTCCCAATAGGGTCAAAAGGTACCTAAGTATATGATTGCAAGTGGAAAATGGAGGGCAGAAATCAGGTACTGGCAGTTTTTCCGTTTTCATTTGTGTGTGAATTTTTAAAACATAAATGTAGGCACTTATAAAGCATTAAAGCAATTCAAAATGTTTCAGTGAACAAATTCCAGCAGTTCAACTTTAGAATAATCTTATATAATAAAGAGCTAATATGCAATGGTTGTCACTCCCTCACGCCATAACAGCTCAGACACTCAACACTGGGGAGAGAGAAATGGGGACCAGCCAGGC